AGAGTGCTGAGGATCCCATCAACAGCCAAAATGACAAACAAATGGGTCAAGCCAGAAATATCCCTAGAGCAGGTCAAGCCAGAAATATCCATAGAAGCCAAGATGACCAAATTGAGGCTGTCGTACTTTGGCCACATCATGAAAAGGCACAACTCATTAGAAAAGACAATAATGTTAGGGAAAGTGGAAGGAACTAGGAAGACAGAAAGATCACATGTTGGATGGACTCAATTAAGGAGGTCACGGGTATGAATCTGCAGAAACTGGGAAGAGTAGTGGACAGGGGATCTTGGAGATGTCTCATCCACAGGATCACCATGAATTGAGATCGACTTGGGGGTGGTTAACAACAACAACAACAACAACAACAAGAAGTAAACTTATTCTGTGGAAAATTCATATATGGTTATTTGCATGGAAAACAGCATTTCCTGGATAGGAAACAGCCTGTGCAGAAAAAGCTGTTTCTTATAAAATGTTGTTTTCTGTGCCAAACAACCACGTGTAGATTTTCCAAAAATAGATCACCAATTACAGTATCTTCTGCATGGGAAGCAGGTGATACTACCAGTACCTGTGTGTACCTGCCTACAACAAGCAAGGTGAATAGCAGCTGCCTCCAGCCTTCTTTACTGGGCATGCATGAACAAAACAGAGAGAAAAGGGGAAAGCAAATACACATCCCTGACCAGCTCCCCCAGCAGATCCTTCTAGATTCCTTCCATACAGATCTCTCCAGCAGTTCACTATCTCAAGAAGTGCTGCAGTGAAAACCATACATTTGTCCCACAACATACCAATAATAAAAATTACAAATCATGTTTGCAGATTGTTTTGCAATATCTTCTATGAATCTTTCTGCTTGGTGCTGGGATTCAACAACTTTCAGTCACCAGTGGCATCTATGACTGGTCTTTAGTACTAACTTCTATAATTGCACTGAGATGTGAATGAATGGAGGTTTTTTTCCTCCAGTTAAATTTGCTTGGCAGATAGGCAGTAGTTTGCAGTCTGAAATAACTAGACCAGGAGTGAACCATCCTGGATGGCTGAGGGGGCACATTATCCTCCACCAGACATCCTTAGAGGGTTGCATACTTCTGATGCACCTGCTCCCACAATCAATCAGTCATCAAAACCTATGGCCCCAGATATCCTTAAGCACTTTCTAGGGCTCATGGGAGCAATCTCACCATGTTATTAGCCCTCTCTGCCCCCCCCGAGGTTATTTTGGTACATTTTGAGACAAAAAATGCTTTGAAAAAATTGTTCTGATCCAGGGGAGGGAGCCAAAGATGGTAAAAAGCCCTTAGAAATCATTTTGGGACTTTGTGGAACAAAACAAAATTCAAAAACAATAATTTTGGATCTCTGGAGGGGCGGGGGGAGGGCTGGGGATTTCATCCAGCCACACTTTGTCAACACCTGATCAATAGTTGAGTGTGCTCAAGGTTTCTACTAGAGAATTTTAAGTATTTCAAACAACATATTCTACAACCCCATAGGATGGATGTGATATCTGCTTGGCCATGGAAACCCATTGGGTGACAGTGGGCAAGTCACACTTTCAGCTTCAGAGGATGGCAATGGCAATGGCAAATCTCCTCTGAACAAATCTTGCCAAGAAAACCCCATGATCAGGTCACCATAAGTCTAAAACAACTTGAAGACACTCAACAATTACAACAACAACAAATAGGATAGACACATGGCAATCAGAGTGGTATTAAACTCCTATAACCGTAGTGTAGATACACCCTTAGAAATGCTGGGAATTGAACCTGGGAATATGATAAGTGCAAGGAGCACCTTCTTCCCCATTGTACTTAGGGAAGCAAGGATTTAGATAGCTCATATTTGTTTCTTTCAGAATATTTACACACTTTTTTTAACTGAGAAATTATAATGCTTGAATGTTAGTAATGACTTACAATTGGTAAGAAGATATGGGGTGGGGGAGACATGAGAGAGTAGTGGAGTCTCCTTCCCTGAGAGGTCTTTAAGCAGAGGCTGGATGGCCATCTGTCAGGGATGCTTTGATTGGGAGTTCCTGCATGGCGGGGGGTTGGACTGGATAGCCCTTGTGGTCTCTTTCAACTCTATGATTCTATGATTCTATGATTCTATGAGGTGTATGAGAACTAAATTTGGAGTAATAAGATAGTGCTGTTTCTTAACTATAGTGTAAATCAGGGGTAGGCAACCTTTCCCCTTTAAGGGCCGAGGGACTTCAGCTCCCAGAATCCCAGGAGCTATTGGCCAACATGGGACTATGGGCAACGTGGCTGAGGCTTCTGGGAGCTGAAGTCCCTCGGCCCTTAAAGGGGAAAGGTTGCCTACCCCTGGTGTAAATATAGAAGTAAATAGAAGATAAGCAATATATAGAGTTATATTTAGAAAGAATAAATCTCAGTTTTAATCTTGTTTAAGAAGGAAGGGTTTTTCTTTTATGGTAATACACGAAATGACTTGACAAAGGATCCAGGAAGTAAAAATTTTGTTGGTTAATATTTTATGTTTGTACCTTGTTTTGTTATAGTGGTAGTGTGTTCTTTTTTGTGTAGATGTTTTATGTTTTATGTCATGTTTTTTGTTGTAAGTGTTTTGTACTGTATGATGTATTTTACTCCAATAAACTATATTTTTTTTAAAAAAAGAATATTTACACACTTTTTTATTGAATAACTTTATAGACCCTTCCCCTTACCCATAGCCAGTAATAGCTCCCAATTAGTTTACAATTCAAAATACGCAACATATGTTAAAATACAAAACATGGTAGTAATACATACATATCTCCATCAGTTAAATATTTGAATTTTTTAGAAAAAGAACATCAAAGACAAGAGGAAATCCAGAATACAACAATTTAAGAGTAGCATAACCATTCACTAACAGTCTGGACAGCACAATGCTTCACTAGCATTCAACAAAAGCCTTTGTAAAGAAGAAAAATTTTAACAGGCACCTAAGGCATGCTACAATTCTTAACACCCCAGACAGCAGTGAGCAAGACATAAATCTGCCATTGTATAAAACATCTTAGGAAAAAAAGTGGGGGAAAGCCAACACTTTACTTAAGTGTCAATGTGTGAATGATATTAAGAGCTAAAACAGTACAGTGAAAAACAAAACAACATTAAAAAACCATAAACCAATTACATGCTAGTATGGATTGCTACCCAAATGACAAGTTGTAAGAATTATTTTTTTTGTAAATGTGTTTGTGCCTTTAACATTTCACAGTCTATTTCACTGACACATTATTTCCACACAATTGCACATCAAATTACAAGCAGACTTCTTCCCACTCAGTCTCAGAGCTAGTACTCCGTTTACAATGCAAACATTGATCTGAGGAATGGATTTTGGTTAACTCTTTTTATTCAGCAAGAAGCCATGCCAAGGTCTTTTAATTATATTTCTCAGGGCTCTCCCAAGGCTGTTGACATTTGAGGACTGATTTTACTAAGACTGCTCACACTAATCCAAGATGTTCTTGAGACATTTCATTCTCTGGAACAAGGATAACTGCAAAAGCCCTCATCTTGCAACTCAACAAAGCATATGCAAAACTAATTATAGGGGGTTGCAGACTGCCAGAAATAATGCAAATTGAGTTCACTTTTAGGGTTAGGGTTAGGGAATCATGGGGACTGTATTTTATTGTGGCACCAGAGCTCTCTGATAGAGAAGGATCAATGTCCCAGAAATAAACCAAATTCCATGATTCCCTAGCACTAACCCTAACCCTAAAAGTGGACTCAATTTGCACTATTTCTGGCAGTCTGCAACCCCCCTGAGTCACCTGAATCATGCTCCGTATTGAAATTTATCAAGGAATGGGCACTCAAAGGAGCCCACATGGAAATATAGCTCTTACATTTTGTTTCTTCTTTTATGACATCAAATCTTGGTACCTGCTTACAACTGCAGACCTATGCACACTTACCATGGACTACCTTTACATATGGGACTTTCTCAGGAGTGTATCTATGTAGAGGGGGGGCAAGATGAGGGCATTACCCATCATATAAGAATTCTACCTTTCCCAATGAAATTTCCCCCCAGGCTCCAGATTTCTAGCATTGCAGAGTTAGACATTGGAAATCCTCCACACTTAGAGGTCTACTATTTGCAATGTGCACATTCTCTTGGGAACTTCACCTGCCCCTTTTCTTTGGATGGCTTAACTAAACTTCATAGTGGATTCTGAGAGCTGTAAACATCAGGCTCTAAGCTCCTGTATATGACTGGGGCTGCTACTTTCTTGTCTGCTTGATTGACTTTGGTTGGTGCTTTGCTCCTGAAAGGCCTCCAAGACACAGAATTTTCGGCGGACTGAAGTTTCTGAATAGTTTCCAAAGGCACCCTCGTGTAGAGTGCATTAAAATAACCCAACCGGGGTGTAATCAAGGCATGTGTTACCATGGTCAGATCTGACATCTCAAACACACTCCCTGAATGCCACTGTATATGCCAGATCAAATATGGATAGTATTACAGTTCAAGGGCTACACTACACATCACAGCACACTTTTAAAATAACTACTTATTTTTTTTAAATATCATTTTTAAAAAATATTTTATATATATATTAAAAACTGCTTAAACTGCCCAGTTTTATTCTTCAGGCTGCTGATCTGGATATGCCCTTCACCTGCCATTTTCCTCCTAAATGTCCCTTCTCCCTCTCTGCTATTTGCCCCTGAAGGAATTGGGACTCCTTTTTCCTACAGAGTTTAAAAGACACTCTCACCGTTTAATTTATGTCTTTGTGGGCTGCCTGAGTCTCTCTCATGGCAGAGCTCGCCTTGTGTGTATATAGGTGCTACATCTAATTGTTAATCCCAAGCAGAACAGACTAACTGAATCAATGTCACCTTGGTAAATCAATCCTTATGTAAAATCCATAGATTCAATCCTTATGTAAAATCCATAGATTCAATGATGAACAATTGGATTAAGGCAATGATGCTTAATTGTCTGAAAGTACAGGAGCCAGTATGGTGTAGTGGTTTGAATGCTGGACTATGACTGGAGACCAGGGTTCGATTCTCCGCTCAGCCATGAAACACCCTCACACCCTCTCAGCCTCAAAGGAAGGCAATGGCAAAACCTCCTCTGAACAAACCTTGCCAAGAAAAACCCATGATAGGTTTGTCTTAGGGTTGCCATAAGTCAAAAATGACTAGAAGGCACACAACAACAACAACACTCTACTAAATATTGTAATTGTGACTGGTTGCTGCTAAATGACAAATTGATAGTCCAAAACCAAAGCTCCTTAGGTTCTTAAATTATTTCCATTTCTCACACTCTTATACTAAGACTGAATATAAATACATGTTCCTCAAACATTATTCATGGTGTCCTGTTTTCCTTAGAAAAAAAGTGGAGAAGTAATGAACTAGATATCTGTCTCACACATACAAACCACAGACTGTATGGAGCAGGGGAGATCTAAACTTTTCTTCTACCTGCAACACTTCCCACATTGCTATCAGCCGCTCTTATGTCACATCTACACTGGCTGCTTAATCTGGAGCCAGTCCAGAGAATTATGCCCTCAACTGGCCCCAGATCAAGCACAATGATAACCTCATGCACTGGCCAGAATCCGGTGCAATAATGCATCATTGTGCACACCACATTAGCCTTGTAGGCCCATCCTCCTTGGTACCACTGCTACTTCCTTCTGGGCAAAAGCTCCCTGTGAGAGCCTACCTGTTGCTCCATCATTTCTTCTGAAGACAGAGTGCCATGTGATCAACAAGGACAGGGTGCTCTACCCACTCCTCATTGAATGCAGGGGCTCCTTCTTCTGGCATCAGCAGAAATGACGACACAAAAATTTAATAACTTTTTTCCTCAGAGCAGCCCATCTAGAAATAGCTATATGTTGGAAATCAGGTGATCTAACAATAGACAATTGGTGGAAAAGAGTGTGGGACTCTTGGCTAATGGAGAAACTCTCCTATACAATAAGAAATTGTATAGGAGAGTTTCTCCATTAGCCAAGAGTCCCACACTCTTTTCCACCACAAGAGACAAGAGACATTCTCTGATGACTGGTCAAAATGTATTGAATATATTAACAACCACTCGCCACGACTACAACCTCCAGCTGCTCAAGTGGACCTATGGAAAGATACATTGATTCCCCTTCCAATGATGATACTTCAGCATTTATTTACAATATCTCTAGTACTCAATTGGCAAAACTATGCCTCATACCATTGTTAATTGTTCTTTGTTGAAGTTTCTTCTGTATATAGTTGATGTCATGTTAATCTACTATACTGTCTCTTTCCGCCACACCCCCATAATAAAAATTGAATAAAAATTTAATTTACAAAAGAAAAGAAATGATGGCACATTAGGCAGGCTCTTGCAGGGAGCTCCTGCCTACAAGGATGTGACAATAGCATATTTTTAGAGCCGCTACCACTTCCTCGCAAGCAGGACCGCCATGTAAAGCCTGCCCAGTGCACTACCACTTCTGCTGAGGTCAGGAAGGGACACTCTGTTATCAATGTGGAAGGGGTAAAGCACTCCCCTCCTTGTTGATCACATAGCGGGGTACCCATTTCTGTTCTCAGCAGGAGTGGTGGCATGTCAGGAGCTCCTGCTTGTAAGGAAGCAGTAGCATCGGCTCCAAAGACAGGCCATCTCCTTTTCCTACACTGTGGGGTGTGGGGAAATGGTTTGGCACAGCTTGTAGTGTGAGGACAACAGATTGGGCCACACACCAAAAGAACCTGAGCCACTCCGGGGTTTCTGGAAATACTATGGTTCTCCCCATTTGGAACAAACTTGGGTTAAGGGACAGAAACCACAGAATTTCCCCAGAAGTAGCCATAGAAGTAGAAGTAACTTAGCAGTTCGAAAGCATGCAAATGTAAGTAGATATAAAGGTATCACTTTGGTGGGAAGATAAACAGTATTCTGTACAGTCATGCTGGCCACATGATCACAGAGTAGTCTCTGATAGCGCTGGCTCTTCAGCTTGGTAATGGAGATGAGCACCACCCCCTACGGTCAGACACAACTTGACAACCTGTTCAATGGGGATCACCTTTACCTTTACCTTTAGCCGTACGCCTTGAGGACTGCCAGCATTGGCTTCAGAGTGAGTTTGGCATTTTCCCCCAGTGTAGACAAGCCCTTATTCATGGAGAAAATGCTCCTTTTGCCATCCACTGAAACTTCCCTTCCTGAGTTGATAGCAGCCAGAGGGGAGATTTTTGCAAGGGCTGTCATGAGGAACAGCATCAGGCTTCCCATCCCTAGAGATGACATAGTGGTCCCAACTAAGATGATACATGTAGACACATGTTGATGTGATTTCAACTGACTAGTGCAACACTTGGGAAGAAAAAAGTCCCTTCCAGATGCTGCAGCAGTTGCAATTCTATTCAGTGCTGACCTAAGAGGCTGTCTAAATAAAGTACTAGTGAAACTATTCAGAAACTATCTGAAATTGAATGAAAATAAATTCCTAGT